TGTTGAAGGGGAGATTCTAAACAGGCCATGTCAGGATGTCTTAAAGCAGAGTGGTTTCTCCCGTATGCAAAGCCATCATGCAGTCAAAGTAAGTTTAACTCATCCTACCTTCTGAGCAATTGTTCCAGTTGCTGAGCTCCGGAAGACACAGGGGCTAACGAAAATCATGATCTTGTTACTCCAGTTTGGCAAATCTAGCCCCTTCCGGCTCTCTATTCTACACAGGATGGCAAAGAGCCATTTGTGAATTATTTTATAACTAAAGTAACTTTTGGTAAAGCTAATTAAAGTATTTATCAAAAAATATTTCCCCTATTATCTATTGGGTAATAATAGGGGAAAGAAAAAGAAAACGGCCAAGAGTAATATAAGCCACAAGTGAGCATGTATACAAACCCTAATGACTCAGTTAACCATAATTACTATTTTTAAATCACTTTGTTTCAAGACAGAAAAGATGCGTGGAAAGACTTGAATTAAGAAAAGGTAATGACTTGGTAGCCCAATTATGCTGAATAAAATTCTGAGACAAACATTACCACAGAGAAGAGCTGATTTTGAAACAGTTATGCTAACAGCACAAATGCATGCACTGTTTCTGAAGTGTAAAGGGCAGGAAAATATACCATGAACACAGAACAATATGTTAAAAAAGTTCATCTTCTGCCTTATACTAAGTGAACTTCTTTCTTCTGCTTTCTTGGGCTTTCTCCAAACGTATTTTCTACATCATTTGTATTTCACTAGAAAGCATTTCTTTGTCCAGAAGCAATCCCAGAAAAAAAACCACAAAACACAACAACAAAACAAAACAAAACAAAACAAAACAAAACAAAAAGAAAACCCAGAGGAAAAGAACTCGGTGACTCAGGTATTTATATCTCCTCCCACTTGCCTCAGGAATAAAACAAGCAGTCCTTAAAAAGCAAAAAAACCCCAACCTATAAAAAAGGCACCAACCTTTCCTTTAACTTCAAAAAGGTGAACCTTACTCCCGCAAGTGTATATGGGGAAAGCATAGACAAGTTTTTGTCAAATTCTCTTTGTTTCCACACCACATATGCCAAAATAACTCCCTATAGCAGATGCAGGCCCACTGGGTAAAAGAAACAGAATGGCAAGGAAGAAGGCTTATTTTCTTGCTCAGCTGCTTGTGTATTAAACGCACTGTGTTCCCTTTTATTAAAGTCTTAAATGTGATGGAGAAAGTTAAGGGTGATCCCTATTTCTTCTCTTGGCTGCAGAGGAAGCCCCAATGAACGCAAATTTAAGCAGGCGCTTACATTAGATTTTCAGAGCAGTCAGAGACTACAACTTAGTAAAACAACTTATTTTACACCATAGTAAAACTGGTAAGTAAGATGTGCTCAAAAGTGATCTAGCAGAGGAGAAGATCGCGTTTCCAATTCAAATCACAACACTTAAGGTTCTGATTCTGCACACAGCTCAGCCAAGGGGCATCTGTTGAGCTCTGTTTTCAAACCACTGGTCTGAGCTACCCAGGGAGAATTTCCTCCCATTAACCCACAAAAAACCCTGTAGCACTAACTGTGGTGCTGCCATAAAGAGAAGTTGCCTGTCTCATCTAATCATACTGCCTCAAGTCTTGCAAATATTTCGCCAAGCTTGCACACTAGGCAAAACTCTGTGTTTACACTTAGGGAGATCTAGCGTCACACCACTGCCACTGGTGAGACCCAGATCCGGTCTAGTGTAAGCAGAATTTAGTCCACAGTTAGTCTTAATGAAATTAATTTTGTTTCCTCCATATTTATTTTTTTCTTCAAAGGAATCTTCACCCAGATAAATACATCTCTGGTCCCTCTGCATTCTGTGCTGTCTGTCAAGTTTTTGAGTGACGTTTATGTTTCATCTGTGCTTGGATATCTTTAAACCTCCGAGGGAGACCTCTTATATAAGTTTTTTGATGGTCTCTGCTCAGCCGATGTGTTAGGGTGAAGATTGTGATTTTCATTAAGATAACATAAGAACTGTTTGAATGATAAGCTGCTTCACAGTGTAACTTGAACTCAGAAAGGATGAAAGAGTGTGTGGTGGAGACTGCCTGTCACAGCAAATTTCCCCCCGGGGGTGTGGCTGAGGGCTGAGTGGGATTTTTTATTTTTTTTTTTTTTTCAAAGGCCATATGAGAATTGGTCTCTGAATTCAGATACTCGTGTAGTTCTCTGTCAAAAAAATCCAGTGTAAGAATCTGTCAGATCTCTTACAGACCTGGAGCTCTGCTTATCAGAAGCAAAGTTATATGAAAATAATTTTTGAAAAATAGTGTAGATCCATAGAGGAAAGATACAGGACATCAGTATGAACTACTAATAGGCCAAAACTGCATTTGAATTTGCAACAACATTGAATCTGTTACAATATGCCTGAAACAGATCAACTGTAGTCAATTGGAACTGAACATTTCACCGGAGCAACAGCAAGCTAGCAAAAATACATACAGATTCAACCAGGAGAAAATGAAGACCTCAACTATCTGCACTTCAGACAAGGTAAGAATTCAAGTAGAAATGCAATATTTCTTTCTTGGTGCCTTATCTCTGCAGTCTATATTCTTCTTCGGCTGCCCACCGGGTTCTGAGTGTGCTTTAATGAGGCTGCTGGTCCTACACAACCCAAACTCTCTTGGGACATACTTAGGACTCTGAGCAAACAAGATTTCAGACCCCTTCTGGTTCATTAGCCTTCATGGGCACAAGGGTGACCTGCAAGAAATGTACTTACAAGCTCCTGGCCTGAGCAGTCCTCCTGTGATGTGCAAGGCTACAGGAGATGGAGCTCCACAGGTATGGAGCAGGGCAAGGGAACCTGCAGCCTGTTCCTTGCTGTGCCCTCCTGTCTTCAGAGGTTATTTTTCCTTTGAAGTGTAACAGTTAACAGATGAAGTTGGGGCAGGGAACAGAGAAGGATGCTGTGGGTTTTCAAATAATTTTCATGATGTTATCCAGTCTAAATAGAAGATTTCGTTTATTTCAAGATTTCATTCTGGGGAGACCAAGGGCCAGCCGCATCTTTTACTGCAGAACTTAAATAAGCAAATGATAAGGAAAAGCATTCAGAGAAACCCACATCTATAATAATTCATAAACCTAGGTGTGAGAAACCATTTAGGTCACAAATGAAGCAAAGGTGGTGGTATCTTCCAGTCATTTTGCACTTTTGAGCGTATCACAGAAGATGGCATAATTTATCCTCACCTGAATAACAGGAAAACCTAAGGCATTTACAATTCTGATACAAGTCCATAGTGGCAAAAGAGCTGAAATATTAAACATCTGAAAAAGTGGATCTATGCAAAATTTACCTCAAAAATAATAGTTCAGCTTTCGCTATACATTAAAAGGTTTCTATGGCAACTTGATAGCTGAGCTATAATTAAAAATGGGTTCTTATTCCTATGAGAAATTTCAGCTTTTGCACTTCTAGCTCCTCTGCTTTTTTTGATTAGCAATGTATTTTCTGTACTTGTTACAGTTGACTTTTTTCTTTAAGTGACAGTAACATTCATACTGAGACCTAGAGCTCCAGCAAAGAAAATATGCACTTGCCTTAGTGGGTTTATTTCTCTCCAGTATGCTCCGTCCTAATTCCGTGCATGCTGAATCCAGTTTCCTGCTCTTACTTAGATGGTTTTCGTTTGGGTTATTTTTAATGTGATTATCCTAATCACGTCAAACCAATACATGGAGTTCATATAGTTTTCTCCATCTCTTAACTTCTATGCTACTCTGAGTCCCTAACTCTTCAGCCCCCAATGTTAGAATCTCTCTCACGTTATGTCTTACACTTTCTCTTTGTCAGCTTTTCCTTACTGCTTATAAATCAACACTAGCCTCGTGGCTATTCTTTGGGAGAAGCGTTGTCGAGGCTGATTTTTAGGTCACTCAGATAAGAGGGGGTTTGAACCTGCACGCACACACACACACACTGTATGCACCACTCTTCAGCATTTTGGAGTCTACTCCCAAGCCCAAATGATTTCATCACTAGGAAATCCCCTGTAACACTCAGTAGAATTCCTTGTTCACTTGCGTTTCATGACGGTGCCCTTCAGAAAATCTGATAAGATATACTTGGTACATTAGTCACCCACTCCTACTGTAGACCAGGCTTAGAAGCATGCCGGAACACCCTCTTTTTTAAAAAGTGATTCATTTAAAACTGATTTCTTTTTTGCTATTCAATACTCAACCTGAAATATGCCATGGTTGTCAAGATAAGTTAATAATTTGCCTATCACGAGGTAGGTCTGAACCTAGTCTCTGACTGCAGCTATCTAAGCCCAGAATGGAAATTTCCCAGAGTAGTGAAATTTTCAGAAAATTTCCCTTTACTGCTTTAGAAGCAACAGCTGTCGTGGCTCTGGTGGCTTCTGAGTTATTTTAAAGGTTCTCTGACCACACTTAATGGATGTGAAGTTTATAGTCACACCTGATTTACAGCTATGGTGATTTGGGTACCAACAATGTAGATACAGCATCTTTACAGTAGTGAAAGTATTCTGAATGGGGGAAGAAGTCAGAAAGTGAAGACAGGCAGGATCTTCTGCTGCTATTCTTTCTATCCAAGCATTTGTACTACAGTAACTCAAACGCCTTGACTTACTTTTTATTTATATCAATATCTCTAACTGACATTTTGGCTAGAATTTTCAAAGGAGTTTGAAGTACCTATACTTATACTACCTATAATAAACCTAATTTGGTTTGCACTGCTGTTATCTCAGACAGCATTAAGAATCTCAATGTGACTTCTTACAAACACGAAGGGGGAAAGTTTCTGTTTTTCAGAAGGGTTACTAGGATTACAATTAAAACTTGAAGCTCAAGTGTCCATCACATTGTCATTAATAAACCTATTACTTGTGTTCAGCCAATAGCAGTGTAGGTAGTGGAACGAATAGGAAGTTTGAAGAGGAAGTGTGAAAAATAGGCTGAAGACAGTGTGATGTTGATGGTAATCATTATGCTTCTTTACAGAAAAGATGAAGAACTCTCTGCTCGCAGCTATCTTTTTGTTTGCAACAGGTGAGTTTTCTTTTGCTGCATAACTTACTACTGTTTATAAGTAGTAAAAATTCTTAACGTTACTCAGACAAGGCTGTACGACCAAAACTATGACAGAATTTAGTTACGTGGGTAGGAGAAGCAACAGCCAGTAGCATCTTTTCCTGTTTCTTTCACAGTTGCCTTGTTAAATGGCTCCTTTTTATTCCCTAGATTCCTGCAACTGTGCAAACCAGGATTTGCCATTTTGCCAGCAGCTCCCAGGTGGGTAAATACTTCTCAGGTGACACCTACTTAACGGCAAAGGTGAAGGTCATTGTTGGAGGGAACCCCCCGGCCGGAGTGATGTCGGTGGGTACCGCTAGCCCTGCGCCCTTCGGCGGGCAGGGGTCGGGGGGCGGAGCCTGCAGCGGCAGCTGGCTCCGCCCCCTCCCCCGCCCCACCCAGGCGCCCCCTGGTGGCTGCCGAGCGGTGAACAAATCCTCCGGTGCCGAGTCTCTGCACAAACTGCCATGGTTCCAAAAGACAACAGGATCTGTAATGTTTATGTGCGACAATCATTCAGGCTTTATATTTAAGTGATAGATTTCTGCTAATGGGATAAATGACCAGTCCAATGCCTTTCAGTCGAGGTGAGACACTGCAGCTGGTGGCCCTCTGATGGGCTTCGTGCTGAATTTATTGTAGGCAGAAATGACCTACTTGCTAAGTGCCACAGCAGAGAAGACAGTATTTTGTGTACACAGTGGCACTGGATCATCAGGAGGACTATATTTTTCTTGAAATTAGCCACGGATAATTTTCTAGTCCTTGCTCTTTGCCAATCCAACTAAATTCTACTGAAGCATTGCTGAGAACATCAAATACACAAGAAAAACAAAAGGTTCTAGAGTAAAAAAAAAATAGAAAAGAGCTCTTTTTGTTTAGTTAGTTTCATTTTTTTAAGAAGAAAGTGGGTCTAGAACAGAGAAATATTCTTTTTCTTTCTTTGTATTGCTCTTGGAACAGTCATGGTACAGTACTAATTGTATTCTGGGGCAAAATATGCATGTTCTTAAAGGGGAAGCTGGCCTACAGCTGTTACTACAAAAAAGCACTAGGATAAAATTGAATGCGCACGTGGACACTAAGACCCACAAATAGGACAAGTGAAAAAAGAACCACAGTGCGTAGCATTCATTATGTTCATCTGAAGAAAATAACACAGAACTTGAATTATTGGCAGTGAGGTGGTGCACTGGAGTGTTAATTGAGCTAATACACTATTTCCACACATAAGATCTACTATTTTTTCTTTGTCTGTTCTATTGCCATCATGTCATAGAGAAAGCAAGAGCACTTTTGTAAGACTGAAAGCATGAGGAATGATACAACCCCCTATTGTTTGATAAGCAGAGGCAGGTCTGCAATACAATGGTTACCATTTGGATCTCAATTAATAGAAATTTGGGGAAGAAGTTAGTAGAAATTTAGTAGAAGACTGAATGTGTTTCCTTTTTGTCACTCTCTCAAGAACCGTTATTTCAAGTAGTTTCAGGACAGTATGTTACAAACATATTGACATGAAGTATTACAACAGTTCCGAAAAGATTTTGTTTTCAGGTGTTTCTTTAAAACAACAACAACAAAGAAACACCAAGTAAATGAAAGGCCTAAGTCAGAGTAAAAGAAAAGAAAAATGTGAGAATCACTGCTGTTTTCCCCAGTTGTTAGAGCACCATGTCCATGAGTTAAGTGGACAAGATTTGGTCTGGTGGTCAGACTAAGAAAGAAAATAATTCAATAATTATTTTCATTGCTGTAGAAACAAGGAAGACCTGATCTCCACCTACCCAAAAGGAAGCTGCACACCACCTAAACTGATGCAGCATAACTTTATTAGAAAAGCACATTTCTTTTGGTAGGAGCAAGGAAATGTCACAGAATGAGGGTATTAAAGTTTGAGCTCTGCTTATCTGACACACTTTTGGGTCCAAATCAGCTTTTAATTTAAATACGCAGCTACTATCTGAATGATGAAAAGAAAACCAACAATAATCTGTAACTCAGATTGTAGGAAGAAATAGCCCTGAATGAGGAAAAGAGAAGGACTAACCCTTTACCGTAACCATGCTGTAATACCAACTTCAGAGATACATGTATTTTCTTAACAAATAAGAAAACATTTCTTATTCAAGATTGATAGACCTATTAGCAGCTCATTAAAACTAATACATATAAGGAACATGTGACTCTACTTATCATGAAAAAATAATTTTTATCACCTTAAATATCCTGTACCTGTCGAGATACTTATCTATTTTTCTGAACAGAAAGAAAATATATCTGGTTCTTTTTTGAAAAGTGTGGGTGGTACTTTGAGACATCATAGCTGATTCTTCTGAACTAATAGTTCAGACAGAAAGATACCAAACAAAAGGCGAACAGTCATATTTTATCACTACCATTTCTGATAAGAGACTTTTGAAATACTGAAATAAGCTTAACCACTAGAGATTCAAAATGAGTTCCTTTAAGAATGTCATCAGTGTTTAATTTCCCTTCAGCTGAAAAATTTGTATGTTCAGCTACAAAAAACCCTCATATTTTTCTTTCCAAAAATTGAGCACAAGTCATTTTGTACATAAACTTAACCTCCTCCTGCGTTATAATGTGATGTTTATAAAGCTGGCAGTATAAGCAGCATATTGTTTTTCTCCAGAAATAGTACATTATTCTGAACTACAGAGAGAGAAGACTGATGGCTTTGGAGTAATTCTGGAATCTAGTCAATCAGTTCTACTGTTGATAATTAGCCCTACACTGTAGTGTATAATTCTTTGCAAGAAACTCTACAGCAATTCTTGCCAATAAGAAACTATGGAAACATCAGATTGGCCCTTGGTGTTGCTCACTAAAATGCAGTGCCTCTTTCTTTTTTTTCCCCAACTTCATTGCATGACATTGATTTCAAAGATGTTTCACTAGGGTGCATGTGGTCAGTTCTGGCCTATACTTTCAAAAATGTCTATAATTTGTGTTTAAGAGTCGATATCCCAGGAAGAACTGTTGCCAACTCTGGTGTATAGTCCTGTGGGTGAACCGTGCCCTCCTCCCATGCAAGGCAGATGCTGCTGGTTCTCCAGGGTTCCCAAGCCACAGCAGCTCCACCAGGGAAGAGGCTTGCTCCCCAGATCTAGAGTAAGACACCAGAAGCCAACGGTTTTTACAGATTTCAGCAAACAATTGAGCATTTCCAGAAACACAGCGGCAAGATAGGTACTGTCTGTCAGATGGGAACGGTGTGAAAGCAGAGCAGAGCTGGGAAATTAGAACCTAAGGTCTCTTAGGGCAGAAGTCCACTGCAATTTTGCCATCTACTTTAAGGCCATTACCTTGCAATAGCTTTCCTCGAAGCAGAGGGCCAAAAGCTAGTAATGCTTCTGTGAAATCATATGCAATTTGTTTCTGCAATTTTTGTGCCTAAGACGACAGGAGTGTTTCCAGAAGTATAAAAGATCTTTCATTCAGAGTTGAAAATAAATAAATAAATAAACTAACTTAAGCTTTGAGTAAGTAGAGGCAAGCAGGCACCAAGATGTCTCTATTACAGGAGAGAAACACAGTTCAAAGCTGTAATGATATCAAAGCTGTAGGAAATACCATAGCAAGCATTTCAGCACTCTATTCTTGGACACAAAACAGCTGATAATAGCGTCATAAAACACAGGAAGAATTATTTTTTTCTACCTTCATGTGGGAAAATTAGCTTTTACTTGGAAACTTTATAAACCTGATAAAGTTTAATCTTTCTAAGTCTTTCTGTCCCTTGTGCTAAACTTTAGTGAACTGCTTGCCTTGAGAGTAAACATGGCATAAGGACTCACACAGTTAGTTCTTACTTTGTTGCACAGAACGGTTTAGACTGTTTGGTATTTGGTTTTGTTAACAGTAAATGGTTGCCTGCGCTGGGTCTTTTCTAGTCCACATGTTTTTATCTTGCAGATTGGGACAATGAACTGGTATGCTACAAAGAATTAAGTGAGGATCTAACTTGCACCTGGCTGCCGGTACCGAGTGCTCCAAATACCATTAATTATACTGTATTCTTAAAATGGTAAGTCTAAAAGGCATTGCAGAAAATGAAAAGTTGTCATTGCTGTTTGGCATGATTCCTACCCGCCAGAGTTTTGCTCCAACATATTTTGTCATGTTGTGGGTTGTTACACAATACTGGTCAAAATCTTTCTTCACATTTCACTAATACATAATGATTTAAAAAAAAAAAAAAGAAAAAAGAAAGCAGATTTCTGTCTCAGTGCTTGCATTACAAAATGGATTTTCCTCATTTTATATCTTCATATTTGGGACGCCCATGAGATTAAGGGTATGTTTAGAAAGAGAGAAATGAGATCAGAAAATGTGATCTTTGCCATGAGATCATATCATGGGGTACACAGGCTACAACACCTTATGGCATTGGCACATTCTGATACTCATTGCTGATTATTTTGCCACATAACCCACCACTCTGCATTAAAAAAGAACTGTGGTTAGGAGCATCTCCTAAAGTGAAGGAAATGTCACTACACTGGGAAATTCCCCAGGGTGATCTGCATGTTGCAGAGGAGCAAAGCAACCACCACAGGGCTGAGGTTACTCCCCCCCATCACCTTCAATATTCTCCCACTGGAGGCAGCAGCTGATGCCGATATGCAATGAGCATCAAACCTCACTGCATTTGCTCTGTTGCCTCTTGCCCTCTCAGGAGCCCCCGTTGCTTGGAAGGGGAGAAGCACCTGTGAAATGGCTCTGCTTCTGTAGAGATGCTATCAGCTGAAGTATTTGTAAGCTAGGACCTGCCAAAATCAGGCTGCTGTTCCCAGGCTGCAGGGTTGATGTTATGAACAGAGAAGGCAGAAAAAAGAATGAAAGAGAAGATGGGTGGGGAAGGAGGGAGGCATTTGCCTCATGGAAATGTTGATTTTCCCAAGCCAGAGCCAGGACTTTAACCTCAGTCTTCTAGGCTTCAACCCAGTGATTTTAAAGAAAAACTTCCTTTATCTTTTTTTATTGGGTTAAAAGGAAAACAAAAAATGTTTGAAAGGGCTTTTGGGTTGCCTGGAAGAGGACATCACTCCTTTCTGCAAGTAACACCAGTTTGACATTGAAATTATTCCTTATGCTTGCTCCTTATGATTTAGTTGTCAGGAAGAAAAGGATTAAAGAAAAACACTCCCACAGAGAAGTTCCAACCAAGCATTCGAAATCATGCTTTGAAATATTAATGGCAGATTCACAACTAGTCTGAACCACAAGACAGGGGAACCTTCAAGTGGTTTTATTCAGTTATTAAATATTGTATCATGATCAGCACATTTAATACTTGAAATACGTAGATAGGCAATTAGTATGCCAACCCATTTCTTTAAGAACATTGAACTGGCACAGCTTTAACCTTGAAAAAAACACTGTCCTGTGTGTGACAGAGAGTAAATGAGAGAGGTGAGGCGAGGAAGTCCTAGGCAGAACAGGAACAGCCTCCTGTATATTGCCTTAAACTCCTTGGACTTTCTGTGCTGTGTGCATTAGGTAGGAGAAGTCTACAGGGCTGAGGACTAAGGTGGCATTTAAACATCTCAATCAAACTCTGATGCTTTGCAAGAACAAAAGTCAGAATCACAGGATGGTAGGGGTTGGAAGGACCTTCAGAGATCATCTAGTCCAACCTCCCTGCCAAAGCAGGTTCACCTAGAGCAGAAAATAGTCATATACCTTGTAAGAAGTTTTTCATACCTTTGTGGTAATCTAGATTCAGGTAACTGGGAAATTTTCTGCCCCAAAGGAATCCAAAAGGATGCCTCTATGGTAGTTGGCAAGTAGACTTTCTGAAGCAATTTCTAACCTAATATTATTCCTTCTAAATATTTTTTTATATCCCACTGTAAGTATGAAAGGCCATATGGATTTAATCTTGTATTATGCTGTGCCTTACAAGTTTAAGGGATTCAACAGTTCTCTACAGCACAACAAGGACTTGAATGTTTAAAATTTGCTAGATTTACAGGGTACTGGAATTACGCTTCCTGTTTCAAGCTGCTCAGGCCACACCTTCAAGAGTTCAAGATGCTGAATTTTGTACATAGATACCTGGAAAACTATCAATTGCTGCAATGATGCAGCTTTCTGGGTGTCCTGGGTTGAGAGACATAGGACTAACTTTTCTTCTAATGCTGGGGAAAATTGCACTTCTAGAAGACTCTAGTGTCTGAATTTGTGAAAATATTTACTTTATAGCCAGCCAGGCTCTGTGAGATTCAGGGTCTTATTGTTTTCGAGCCTTGCCTGGTGCAGGGACAAGGAGGAGCAAGGCCTAGGCATTTGACCCAGGCTGGCCAACAGGATTATTTCATACCATGAACGTCCCATTCAATATAAATTAGAAAGTTTGCTGCATAGCTCTCTCTCCCTTGATGGCGGCGGGTCCAGACAACTCCTTGCCACGGTGCCGGACCCCTGAGGCCTTCCCTTCCTCCTGAAGTCATTGTGCTGGCAGTGTCCAACATTTGCTGTCCCTGCTGGGAGTGCACAGCTTCCTACTGATATAACTGGCTGAGTATAATTCCTGTATCTTATATCAGTATTGGGATTAATACTGGTTCTTTAGTATTGTTGTTAACTATTTAGTTTTAGTCTATTAAATCTACTTATATTTCAACCCTTGTGTTTCCTTGTGTTCCCCCATTCCCCTTTCTGGGTGGGGAGGGGTCATTGGGTGATAGAATAATTGTCTAAATGACAATAGATTGTTATGGGTTTTCTCAAACCATAATGCTGGGCTAGGGGAAAGAAAGAGGTATTATAATCCAATAAAATGTTTGTTTTTAATTGTGCTTCCTTCTCTCCAAAGGGACAGAATATCAAAACATTTTCAGCGAAACACATCATCATCTTCCATCACGATAGAAAGAAAAGATCTTTTCATGAAGCGATCTGCATCTATTTGGATAAGAGCACATTACACCCATGACAGCTGCCTGATAGGAAAGACGATCTCAGTTGTACCGGGCAAAGCAGGTACAGCATCCTCATGAGTTTTGTTACTACAATGCCCAGCTGGAGCTGTGGTAGCATTTTGCTAAAGATTATTTCAAAAATTGTAAATCTCTATATACACTTGTTATTTTTACTGCTTCTGAGACGTACTCTGCAATTTGGCTTCTCTGGATGAAATCTTTACTGAAGTCTTTAGTCTTTATGGGAGAACGGTTTTGCTTTAAATCATTTGCTAGACTATAAAATAGTCATATTGAGGAAAATATATCAGGATATTTGTGGACAGTACTTACAGCTTCCTGTGCTATCTTTGATGGTTTTTCTGAACTTCTTTATTGGTTTACAAAGAGCAGGCTGACTCAGCACCATGCACTTAAGGAATCTTTGTTACAGAGCATTAGCATTTTGAGAAACCTTCTCAAATTTCAAATCTTTTCAAAGGTCACTTACCCATTCCACAATGCTGCAGGGGAGATATGAAAAAAGAAGTCCTATAAACTATGACCCTCAGATGTTTATTTAAATATTCCGTACACTATCTGATCATGGAGATTATGTTAAGAGCTTTCTGAAACTTCACCTTTTCAGAGTAACCATGGTCCAAGAAAAAACGCAGTGCTTCTCACTGCTGGTGAGCGTTACCAGTACAACCCAAATTATCACTATGACCTCCTCTGGAGGCTTTTGGCCACTTTTTGTTTGTTGGAGAGAAAGAAAAAGACATACTTACACTTACAGTTATATAGTTAAAGACAGTTGCTGAAATCGGAGGACGTTCTGGAAATTTTTATAGAATTCACAATTGTGGGTACTCTTGACATTTTGATTTTGTCTTTACGACTCACTCAGAATAGCACCTGCTTAGAAAAAGAGGTCTTCCTAAAATCAGTAGGAACATTCATAAAAGACACGCAAGTGGAAAAACCTCATTTTGTCGATACGATAAAGATTTGACAATTATTTATTTCCAGTCTTTTTAAAGTCCTTCAGTGTTCAGCATTCTATGCCAAGTCATTCATTTTTCATAAACCACACCTGACAGGCATAATTACCAAAGCTTTCCTGCTTCTCTCGCACTTACAACAGCTGCATGTTCCCCATTTTAGGAAAGTGCTTAACACCATCTAACATAAATGCTCATCAGATCGCTAACCAGTTGATAGTAAAGTGGGACCTGCCCACAACTCCTGCACCATATGAGCTGAGATACAGAGAGGCATTCACACAACCCACTCGGTGGACGCTGGTAAGTACTTCCAGATGACAATCACTTGAGAATGCAAGGTGCCTTACTCTTAGCTCAGCAGTTCATAGCACATACAGCAGGACACCAACAGGATGCTACTGAAGAGCACGTACAACATGGATAACAAGGAGGCACAGCATGCAGACAAGTGGTAGGCAAACATAAAAAAGGTCTCTTAGTCTTGTTCTAAAAGATCCAAAGCTGTTTGGGAAAGAAAGATTGCTTATACAGCTGGTTCTTTATTCCGTCAACGAGACGCTACTACCATCAGTGATGCAAAAGCTGGAGAGGATATCAGAAATGCCATAGAAACTAAAATCCTGATTGCACTTTAGATGATGGGCAATATTGCTCTTTTTTTGGCTGGTATGATTAAAATTTCAAACTGATTAGAGATCAGGTTGCTCTGTTTTTTAAGGTAACAATTCATACCTTATACACTTCTGTTTTCCATCACTTCTGCATATTTCTTTCTTGTATAAGAAGGGAAATAATTTCTCTGAGATACAACATCAGTTTCAGATGCATTTTGGGATATGCAATGGTGAGACTGTGGTGCAACAAGAGGGCAGTACCTAAAACTAAAGGGACTAAGAAAGACACAGAAAACCAGTCATAATTTCAGTAAGATCTGCATGCAGATCCAGTACATCATGCAAAGGCTTCACCAACAGCATGCACACACATATGATTTTTATCACCTAGTCTCTGAAATTGTCTGTTTTTCAAGCTCTGTTATCTGTAGTTGGATGAAGAATAAGTGTTTATCAAGTAGAAGTCCAAAAAGAAAACTGTCCCACTTCTTAGACATTCGTGCTCCCCTAGGAGTCTCTTTTCTTCATTTGTACTACCAGAATCTCCTGTGTTCTTCCTTTTGTATCAGAAGACCTATAATATTTTTTTCCATTTCTCTTGTAGCTGGCTGCCACTTTGTTTAGCAACTTCAGAAGGAGTACTATCAGAGGCCCATGTAAGAAAGGTTTCATCTTGGTACAAAGAATATGCAAGTCTTGGAAGGGTCTTCTTCTTCATTGACATACAAGTCTTAGACCATTCTAGGACAGCCAGATATCAGTAGTGCAATAGATAAATAAACATGTGCAGACAGTATGCAGCATGTGGAAGAACAGAGTCAAGAGCAGAAAAATGCATGTCCCACAGGTTCTGGAGGCAAGGGAGATAGGAGATTCAAGGCAGTGGTGTGAAGGACTGGTAGAGAAAGCCACACTGGGTGATAGGAATGACAGAGTACTGAAAGACTGCAGGTCACAAATATTCATTGCCTCCCATGTCCCAGCTGATCCCGTGAACTTAGGCTGTGAGCTCTTCATAACCACATGAATGTAGACTGCATTTACAATGGGACTGGCAGGGAAAGGTGAGTGTGGGCGTACAAGCCCAGAAGATATATAAAACTAGCTGAGAATCAGTGTTATCAAGTGCACGATTAATGTACATGTAATACAATTTAAGACTTGGATCTTGAGTCCATTTCACCTCCTTCTTGTTCTATAGGAGGTTTGGAGTCTTTCTGTGACCAGGATGGTCTTATTTGCAAAGTCATAAACAATATATAATCAACTTTAATAAAAAAATAAAGAGCTTTAGAAAACCAAAGAGAAGAGCTGGTCACGTAATAGTGGGGGATTTGGGTGAATTTGGGTGGGGTTTTTGCTGGTTTTGGTTTGGGTTGGTTTTGTTCTTTCTTTTTTCTTTTTTTTTTTTTAGGAAATACATGTATTTAAGAAAGCAAAACTTCACAGAAGACTAATGCTAAAACAAATATTCCAGTCTGCTATAGCACTTCTACCAAAAAAATCGTAGCACCTAGAACTGATCAGATCAAAGGTCCATTTGATTACAGGATACTATCTTCCAATAGTGGCCACTGATGGACATCTGGGGAAGACTGTAAAATAGTTCAAGCATATAGCAACAGTTTTTCTCATATTCTCTCCTACAGTTTTCAGCCCAGGGATTTCCTTAGACACAGGTGGTGTTTTTTTTTCAAGACAATCTCCATTCCCTGCAGTCACTGAGCATCAACTGCAGATGCACATTACTTCTGTGGTGCTAAGGCACAGGCAGCCACACCTTCAATCCAGCCATGCTCCTTACCACATGAGTCTCTTGGATCTATTTAGACATACTGTAATATTTGAGCATAATGGGATTTTGTGAAAAAAAAATAATATTAGATTTGACCTTCACATCTTGTTCTTCAGAATGCCAACAAGGCTTAGAGTTAAGTAAGTGATTATTAGGTATATATACTGTCTAATTGATTTGGACCTAAACTGTTGCTTATGTGTCCTGACTGAGCAGATCAACTTAATGAAAAAGAAGATATTGCCTTGAAAGAATAAAAAGATGTTGGCTAAAATGTCTAGTTAATTCCTTTCTGATGATAGGAACTCCTAGTTTCAGCTGCAGTCAGAAGACTTGGCTGAGAAAATAGTTAATATTAGATTATGTTTCATTGCTGTCACATAAATTAAACTTCATTTGTTTTTAGGTTCCTGTAGAAAACAATGCTGTCAATGTCACCATTTCAAATTTAAATGCTATGTCTTCATACATTGTTCAGCTCAGATGCATAGCCAAGGATGTTCTCCACTGTGTTTGCATTTGGACTAAAGAGATTTTGGTCCCTCACAGTAAGTGAAATACAGTTTTGTCCCACTAAGAATATACATAAATGTAAAAGTCTCTTTAAATTTTCTGTCACATGGAATAGCATTATCAGATACTGTTGAAAATATGAAGATCAAACTGATTCATATGAGTGCATGTCTCCATCTTTTTCCATGTTTACCAGAACTCACAAAAAAGCCAAGGATATCACATAATGAAACTACAGAAATCTCTCCAGGCAGAAGAAGGGTTCTTCTGAAGTGGGAGGTAATGTTCACTTTGAGTGTGGGTACCTTCTGGTCTGTCCATACTATTAATTTATTACTTTATAGGAAAAAATAGACTTTCTCATTATATTGAGCTACACTGTATAAGCAAAAGACATTGAATATTCTACTTTTGATTCAGGGTTCACTGAGTTTGTATGGTGGTGTTTTAGGTGCTAGAAGCCAGCAAGGAAAAACTACACTAATTTATAAATTTGAAAAATTATTAAAATAGAAATATTTGGGCTCAAAATAATTAGCTAGAACAGAGATTCTTTCCAACTTGCCTCAAGTTTGTCTCTTAGAATGAAGCTTTCCTTGACAGATCCTCGTAAGTCTTTAGGACATACAAGTGACAGGTGTATTTCAGGTGTTCCTAAGGAACACTCATATTCTTGAGACACAAAAACCTTTTAGAAAAGCTTGGCAAATCTACTAAATTACTAATTCAGAAGTGCAAGGGACCCATAGGCAATTTCAATGAGCAAGGTATCACTAGAGGTGTTTGTATGGAAACTAACTAATTCCATTTAGAGAGAAATATCATACAGGAAATCTCTGGCAGAAAAGACAGAGTCTGGCAGAGTTTTGACATATCAGAAAATGTGGAAAGTTTTGGAATTATGGATTGCATTTTGGCTAAAGGAAAGAAAAGACAGCAGAGGAAATAGGCATCTCATCTCCTGATAAGGAGGAGAGATCCCCTTTTCCCTTTATCTCCTGAGAAGGTAAAGCTGCAGATTCATTTTGTGATAAAGCAATAGACCATATATGCCAATTTAAATGTTAAGCAAGGAGAAGAAATTATTCTCCATCTAAATGCCTTAGTTAGAAAAAAAAAGGTGATATTAAATATGGTATCAGGTCTAGGACCTTCCTTCATACACTAGTCTATGATACAAAACAAGATTCAAGTCCAGATGGTTTCATCAAACACCAAAGGGACAGGGGAAGAGCTGCACTCAGTAATTAGCATGTTAAATGTAGAGAAAAAAAAATATAATCTTTGCCCTTGCTGACATACTTGTTTAAGTTGATTTCAAACAAAGAAAACAGCTTAAAGATGTTAGAGGCTAGCCATAGTTCCTCTGCTTTTGCTAACATTCACCGAGTAACCTCTACACAGTTTGAATCAATGGGCCAAGATAGCTGGCCTCAGCTCTAAACACCCAACCGGGCAACACGTATTGCTTTCATGGCTGCAGATAACACAGGACCTCCTGCAGCAATGCACAAGATTGAGACTGGAAAAGGCTAGCACTGCTCTTTTTGCTAAGCTCAGAAAGCTAAGTTCAACTAGTTTCCTCTCCTGCAATATGCCTCATATTTCACATATTCTAGGAATTATTTCTCCTACACAGAAACCTTTTCCAGTTTCAAAGCCTGTTGAGAGGGCCATAAGACTATTCCCCATCTGCTTTAACAGAGATTCAAATAATGGCACCAATTCTTCTCTCCCTATCCTGGGAAATACATGTTTTAATTTTGAGAGCTTCCAGTTTTACCAGAAATTCCTCTCAACACGTGTCTCTGCCTTTAAAATTAATGAATGTCATCCTGTCTATATTAATCCAGAAGTATCCAATTATTTCATTAAAATAACCCAATCTCCCAGCTTTGTGATATCTTCACACTAATTATTTTGTGCCAAGAAATAACAGAGAAGCCTGATATCAAAAGTAATCCTTGCAGTGTTCACAGGCCTTCATGTATTGAGTCCAGTTTCCATCTAGATTGCAGTAATTTCCATTTATGTGCACTCATTTTCCAGTCTCTCATGAAGATTAATACAGTAAAATAATGAATGAACTATCACCACGTAAAAATTTGTATCAAAAGATATATAACATGTTCCAAAGTTGTAGAATAATTACTAACATTTATCCTCAAAGAGACCAGATGCCTAATAGAGCCTAGTAGATGAAGATTCCCAGAGGCATAAATTGCAATTAAACACCTCTCATTAACTTTCAAGCTCCTAATTATGAGGAGTATGTTCCAGTGAAATGTAGAGAATGTTACAGCTGCTTCACTGCCGCTATTACTAATTGGATACACGTAACTAAGATCCCAATTAAGCAAAACACTTAATCCTGTGTTTAAATCCTCTCAATTTAAGCATGCTCTTAATTTTAAGGAAATGCTTTGCTTCATTGATTCCTAATAACCTAATTAAAATAGTACGATTTTATCCCCATCATTAAAGGTGACATTTTGTTTATACAATTTAATTCTTCTTGATTTTCTGCACAGGACATAATAACATTTATAGAATAATAATTATTTTCCTCTTACTAGGTAACACAAAGCAAGAACATCCTTGGGTATTACGTTAAGGTGGAAAGAATACCCAACAGTTGCAGGGATTCACCAAGTCCCATCTTTCTAGAGGACAGAGAAGTTCTTCTAAATCTATCCATGGCTTATTATAGTGTTAATATTTCTGCCTATAACAAAGCAGGAGAATCTCCACAAGCCATCTACATTGTTCCAGACTTCTCTGCAACAGGTATTCACCCTTTCTTTCATTAGAGTAGTAGAAATGAAAATTTTGTCTGTCTGCCACAAGATCCACTTCTTACCTCAAAATGGCAGGCTGCTCTTCTGCCCCTTTGGTTTCAGTCAAAAGGTCATTCCTAGTTTGATAATCTGCCTTTAAAAATGTCAAAATCTTTAAGATCCTTGCAGGTAGTGGAAATTATATGAAATTATATAGCTATAATCCATAATTAGCCCCTTCTCCTCCTCCCCCTCGTATGCACTACCTTGCAGTTGCTCTACATATAGCAGTTAATAGCTGCAGGAGGTTATTTAGCAACATCAGGCTTCCTCTTCCTGAGGCTTGGAACAGCCATTTCCCCTTTTCCGATTGTGGGAAATTAAAGGTCATGAACAGCAATTAACACTGGAGCTCTCACAGACCATTACAAAGTACTGGATGCTAAGTCTCCTTTATTGGCATACTAGTATAGACATTACTATATACTGGTCACCTGCAATGATGACTATTCAATGAATAATCTTCAAAAAAGAGCAAGTGAGAGGAAGCAAGCAAGAGAGGAGAAAATTGCCTTCCTGTTTGTTGATGTTCGATGGTGTATTTGTTCACAGACTTGCCTGGCCAGATCCATGTCAAAAACCAGGGAACTAATGCAGTTGTCACCTGGACTCCAGAATACAATCCAAAATGTTTTGTGGTTGACTGGGGCACTGGTAAAGGGGATATGCGCATGAAAATAGTAACTACGGCTACTGGAAATTTCACACTAGGTAACAACAACCACCACATCTACTTATGGAGGCACCATTTCATTTATTGGTTGTTTTTGGTTGGGGGTGGTAGGATTTTCATCCTGTTTTAAGAGCAAACTGAAGATTCAGGTAAGTGCAACTCTTATCTTTGTCCAGCGCTGAGACATCAACTAATTTTTCGCAACACTGAGGCAGGTAAAAAGCAGAGTTTTCAGTAGGGTTCTTCTGGTCACAGTTGGACAAGAAATGCAGCTAAGCTGCTGTTGCTGGCATGATGTCTCTCCTTACAGACATTCCAGGCAGACCTATATACTACTAGCTTTGGAAAAAAAAAAAAATTCCCTTGTTCCTAGGTAAACTTTACTTTAAATATAAACTACTCTGTTACAGTCTCCCTTAGATCTTTTTTTTTTCATCCCAATGCCTGTCCTTGTCAAAGCCTAAGTTCTCAACTCCAGTATTCTGCTTATCAAGCTAGGCATGATGAACTGCAGTCAGGGATCACTTTACAGGACAGTCCTCAAAAACCTTGGTTAAAATCATTTAGGTGACTCTTGCAAAGGCCATTCAGAACTGGCTTTTATGTACAGTAGAGAACATTGGGTTCTATAAATGAATGCACTGTTTTCCTTGGTCCTTCTGCAACATCTGCGCGGCCTGCACTTTACATGTAGTTGTTTTTCTTGTTTTTAAATATGCAAGCTGAGGGGGAAATATCTGTCCATGAGCTAAGATACCTACAGCCATTTTAGTTCTATACTTCTCCTTCAGCAGCTCAAGCCTTCCAGAGGGTGACTACAAGCAGATCTGGCATCTTTTAAAAGCAAACCCATGTTATGTCTTGTTCTGCTTCTGAGGTAGTTTTTGTTAAATGTCTAGAGACAATGAAGAAAGGTGCACATATTTTGTACTTGATGTAAAGCACTATAAACTTACATTATGCTTTGAGTCCCAGTTAGTAAGATTTATACCGAAAAGCTATAAAGTTGTCTCTCCTCCCCTTTTTTATAATTTATAACTTTTCAGTAAACCCTGACATACCTTTATTTGTTTTCCAGACAATTTTCAGCCATATAAATTGTACAAAATCATGGTACATGCATCTGATGTGTGTCATTGTGAGAATTTCACAAGAGATGAAAAGACTTTTGGAGTGACCCACTTTTACTCAGTTGAAGGAGGTATTCCTCCCCTTTATATAACCCCATCCTTTTTATTTCTTTTTGGTTCCTACCTGCAGTAATAAAAGAAATCCTACTCAAAGTTTCTTTCCCAGGTGACTTAACAACATTCTTCAGTTAGCATTGCCTTTGATCCTAGCAGTTCTGTACTGGCAGTGAATGACCTGAATGTTGTTCTTTACTGACAGGTCCACAGAAATATTATTATTGCAAATGACATTATCAAAATAAAAAGAAAGAAGGTCTTGGAATTACTACTCTTGTAGCTCAAATTTAACTGTGTCTAAAGTCAGATTTTCCAATCCCAATTCAGGAGTGTCTTACATTGCACCCCAAAATGAGTACAGTTGTGGCTTTTGGAGTACAAGTGTTTGTAATTTCTACCTACTTTGGTATTGCATAAGACAAGGGGGTTTCACGTTATGGGATTTCTGCTTTCTCTTTCACCCTTTATGATATATTTATGACAATTAGAATTAGGAAATAAGCTCTCTAGGAAGCAGTTAGGTTTCAGTCTTGTAAGTCTGTTGCACAAATATTAATGCAGAACTTACATTATTATCCAATTTTATAGTTCCTAGGACAGGTCCTGCTAATGTGACAATTCTGAATGTCACAAAGCATTCTGCATTTGTGAAGTGGACCAAAATAGCTGCCGAAGACTGCTTGGGCTTTCTCCAGGGATACAGGATCAGCTACACAGATTCATCAGGGAAAAAGTCTCCGGGTAAGTCGCATTGCTCAGAACAAAGCAGCAGCTCAGAGCCATGGCAGAAAAGCTTCATACAGACCATTAAGTGCTGTTGCAGCACTCTACTGAGTTACTTGAGATTTCTGTGGAAACTGAGAACTCTCATAGATCAGCTCCTGGTTAGAGTTTTAATGCTCTAGATCATTCTATGAACACCTAGAACCTTCTAGATATCATCTCAAATTAAATACTGGTGAGAAAATATTTCCTTAAAACTTACAGTTCTAAAACTACTGCAGAATTCTCTGGTAGCACTGAAAGGAAGTTGTGTGCTCTCAGTATTCCAGAGGAATTAAGATTTCAGTCACAATACTATGTATGTATGTATTGCAACTCAGCCAACCTTGACTCTAAGCCTTTCTATAGGGCTTAAGAAATTATGTTTCTTTTTTGAACTCGATTAGCAGGGAATACAGTTTGTATTTACCTGTTTTCAAAGACACCAATATTAATTTTATTTTCAGAAACATTTTCTTAAATTAATAGCTTTTGTGTTTAACTACAAGGGATGAAACTTCTACACGTTGAAATAAATTAATAGTTGTGAGCTCAAACCATCTGAGTTTTCAAAAATAAATCCCCTTACTTTTGATAAATATTTTTCTTCTTGTCTGCAGTGGAAAGTCTCCTTGCCATAAATAATAATACATTAACTTTGCACATACTGCCTTTCAAATAAAATTAAAGACATACTATAGAAGACAAATAGCACCTAAGACTTGATGAAGGAGAATAGCAAGGGTTCTGTAATTCATGTTGGTCTATGCCTTTACAGGTCAATAAAAAGTAACAAAAGCTTCCAGTATGCAGCGTTAACAGCAGGTTTGACACTGTCTTCAGGGGGCTCTATTCCACCCCAAATACCTGTCATAAAGTGCAAGAGGAGACAGAATGGGAGTGCCCAGGACTGAACTTAATTTTATTTTTTTTTGATCCTGCCCTTATCAGTCAATATAACAGTGACATAACATGTGATTGGCATGTTTTCTGGGCAGCAAGACTAATTTTATTGGACAATTTGGGGTAAGGAAGCTTATAGGCTAAAGCACAATTTCCACTTCTATGAAGATCTTAAATTGGCAGTGGCAAACTTGAAAAGTCATTTTTGCCCTGTTGGAGGCATACTACAGCACCATTGTTTGCATTATTCTGGCCAGGGGAAAAGTCACTGCATCATCAGAAAAGAAAGGTCGAACTGAAAGGCCTACAAAGTAGGTGAAGCAGAATGCACAGCCCTTTTTCTGTACTGAATGATGAGTAAGAGCACTGGTATTTTCCATGCTTTTTTCCCAGTCAGCCACGGTGATACAGACTCAGCCATCAGAGTTCATCTAATCATTTCCTTCCCCAAACCCTTCTGCATTTCAGCTGTTACTCTCAATTCTTCTACCACAAGTTACCATCTTACCACGCTGAAGGAAAAAACCATCTACCGAGTGCAGATCTCAGGATTCACTAATGCTGGTGAAGGACCTCTGACTCTTTCACAACCTTTCACCACTCCAAAATATGGTACTGTGGAAATTCTGTGCATGCATTACTCAGCATCAATCCCTGCTTTAAGCACTATATGTGGCATTATTCTTTACCCTTTCCTGATTCATTATTCAATCCTCAGTTTTTGATAGGAAACACATAAAAACGTTCCTTTGTTAGAGGTAAACAATTAATCACACTACAACTCTGCCTTTATTTCATTACCTAACATGCAGGGAATACTTAGCTAAGGTTCCTCATCTCTTAAACATTTTCTGATCTTTTTATGCTAGCTTTATGCACATATCTTCTTTATTGCTGATTTCTGTCATAGATTTCAGCAGTTTAAATGTTCTGCCTATGACTAGATAAATTCAGTATTCTTTGCTCTTGGCAAAATCCCGAGCAATCATGTAAACTGGTTTCCAGCTAGACCCCTGACCATTAACTGTAAAAAAAAAAAAAACAAAAAACAAATTGCTCTTATTGTGGATGACAAGTAATCAAATTGGGTTTTTTTCTGATGATTTGAGTAGATCTTACATAACACTGGCAAAAGTTTGCTTTCTCCAAAGGTGCGTGGATAGGCTAAGAAAATAAATACAGTTACATTTATAAAGTCTTGTATACTGTAATTATATATAGTTGACTAAGCATGGTCTCAAACATTTTTAACACCTTGTCCATTAAACTAGATCTAACACAGCAGAAGACCCTTTTTTTTTTTTTTTTTTCCTACCACAGCTTTACTCAATTGAAGCTTTGTAAATAAAGAAAGAAAAAAACAAGCTAAGATGGTGTCAGCCACAGGAAAAGCAACCTGTGAAATTCAGATACAGAATATGCAATGGCTTCTCCTCACTACAGCTTTTTTGTATTAAGGAAGAAAGTATAAAAACAAACAACTGAATAGTCAAAACTGTGAAGCAGGAAGAAAAAGGATAGAAATTAAAAATCTTCCTTGAAATTAACATGGTTTGTGCATCCTTCTCTCCCACACCAAATTCCTTTCTCCTCTCAACACAAGAAATTACAGTGTCTCCACTGGAGCTCTTCTGCAGGACTTTATTTCATGCATCTTACTGAACATATGTTTGGATAAGATCAAATTTTTCAGGAAAATAACAGGAAGACATAGTTAATTCAATGCAACATTTTAAAAAAATCAAGTAATTGCATTGAATTAAGCATTGCATTTATTATTTCCCCCCAATTTCACAAGTTACTAATCTATTAAAAGAACCCCAGATTTCTTTGTCATAAAAGCTTTTTTCAGCAACAAAGCAATTTGCAGCTTTTCAAAAGTCTTTACAAGCAGAATTAAGTAGCTGTTTGATTTTGAAAAGAACTAAGTTTTGTTGCTGGATGGGTAGAAAAAGCAAGGGGCCTTTTTGCAAATATGGTTTGTTAGTATCAGCAACACGATCATGAACTGACCACACTTTCCTGGCACTATTTTGAACCTTTTGATTTAGCTGTCTCTGAGGAACACCTCAAGCCCGACCCACAATTCACATCACAGCCTGCTTTGGTTCCTGTGTTAGCAGGACTGCTCTCGCTACCTGAGAACTATATTAACCTTTCAAGCACTTCATCTCCTTCAAGAGGGTTGTTGGTGGTGGGAAGTTCATCGAGCAGGTATTAACATAAGCAATAGGAGATGTAGGTTTGCAGGAAGGGTTGACAAGTGGCTGCGTGCTGATATAACTGTCTTAAAGTTCCTAACAGGTGAAGCATGGCACCTACCAAATTCACAAACCATAATATTGTGTCAGGACCAAGTGGGATGTCACCAAAAAAACCCCCCAAACCCTACCCTAGTAAAACCTGAAAATTATTAAAAGCCACTTCCACTCAGATAGTTTCTTATGAAGTCAGACCTGCATCAGGGTCCTGACCCATTAAGCCAGTTTGAGCTCACACAATAGCATAGAGAGTAGGAATGCTTCTTTTATTATAAAGTGTTTGGATGTTGGATTTCAGAATTCAGCACATATGTCTAGGTATCTTAAAAATGCAGACCTGAAAACCTCTGACTCTCAGAAATCCCAGGTCCTGTTTCACTTACAGGAATCACAGAACATGTGTAAAGCTTGACTTCTGTTCAAAATACAGCTTTTCTATACTTGATACTGTAAGTCTGATTCAGTCTCTCTATTTCCCATCAGATAAAGGAGAATTTGAAGGTTTCGTGGCCATCCTTTGCTTCAGCATGCTGTTCATTCTGATTTTTGCACCTGTCACTTGTTCTCTAGTGCTTAAAAGGTAAGAAGGAAATATTGGCTAAAGTTGTTAGCAGCGCCTCCATTTTGCTTAACACTGAGCTTCATAGCACTGGGCATCATTAAAAGCAACACAACTCAAAAAGCACAAAACACAAAAGCCACCCCACCCATTTACACAGGGAGAGCAATTAAAAACCACTATAGAACTGATAAAAACTGTTCTTTAAAAATCTATAATCTTTTGGTTTTGATACAATTATCTGAATACCTCTTGTCTCAAACACCCTTGAAAAAAGCAAGGACCATTTCTCACAGTGGAAAATAGGTTATATATATGGAAAAAGCATGCATCTGATTATTTTGCTCTTTCGTTCCCAACTGATAATCATGTCTCTTCTACTGAAATACAAAAATAAATTCCAGCAGCATATGCAAATTGATGTTGCCATCCAAGCAGTTTCCTGCAAGTACATTTGGATGTTAACTGTATAAATTATGCACATAAGCACATAATGAGATGGAGTAATGGATGGATGAGTAGGAAGAAGAGAGAATAACAAGAGAGCCTGTAAGATATGGATGAGGTCCTCTAATTTTAGCAGAAATTGTTCTCTGCAGTTATAAAGTACATCCCTCCCAAATTAATCTGAGGTACAATATTAGAGGCGTACTGCCACCGGAAAAAAAAAAAAAAAAAAAAAAAAAAAAAAAAAAAAAAAAAAAAGGCTGGAAAAGCAATGGGTTCTAATATTAATCTAGTTGCATACAACCATTCATATTGCTATTTTGAAGCCATAGAACCCTACCCTCCCTTTTTCTCCTTTTTTACAAAGCACCAGCCTCAGAAACTGAAAGCACCAGCTGCTGAAGGATGGAGCAGACAGACGGTACAGGCTGTGGCTTGAAAGCTGTATGGCATGACATAGCTCAATTTAGCTTATGTATGAGGCTAAACTCCTGCCCTTGCTTTTGGGAAACAGACTACACTCCACACTGAGGCTCCTCTGCACTTTCCTTTTCAGATTTTACTTTGAGTTGCTCTATGTCTGATCCGGTCTTTTTGACAAGAACTTCTGAGAAGTTTTGACCTAGAGCAAACTTCACTGTATTAAAGATAAGATCAGACTTCATTGTCTGAGCCCATTAGGAAAGAACTTTTAAAAAACTGAAAAAAACCAGCACACAGAAGCCAGGTGTAGCACTACAAAATAGCAATTATATATGTAGTAATATGGAGCACCTGGAATATTGAGATGAACGGTCCAAAGGATTCCCCCTCATCTCCATCGCCTGTATGATTTACAAAAAAGGACTCACCAGACAGCCCAACACCCATCTTCACAGGAGCATCAAGGATATCCAGTAACTCTACAGTCTCAGGCTTCACCTCAAACCACAGCCTAAACAGAGGCAAAGTGCTTTACAGCTAATGAAGTCTAGATTCGATTTGAAAACCAGACAACACTGAAACCAACACTAAGGCAGGGTGGTGGGCTACATAACCTCCCACAGTCTCTTGCAGCTGTGGTTTCTTCCTATGGAAGTGAGTCATTGCCCAAAGCTCTCCGGGTTGCTCTGAGAGCAGCTGCTGATAGGGAGGTGATCAGCTCAAAAATGCCCAAGAGATGGCCTCCTGCTCCCACATGAGCTGGTGGATGAGCATTTGGGGGTAACTGATGCCAACGGGATCGATCAGTTCAGCAGAAACTCCTTTTGAAATTCCAATCCCACCCCACTGCTGCCCCTCTGTAGGGAAATCACAGCTGGCCTCAGCCAGCCTGGGGCCAACACCAACACCTCAGGGTGGCAGGAGGGATGGGAAGGGCACCATTACAGCCTGTCCTCTTAGGAAGGGCCAGGGAGGACAATGCCTGAGATGTGGCTCGTGTAGGGTGGTCCAGGGATGTTAGAGAGCATAGCAGCTTATTGCCAGTTTTGTTGTTTCTGAGCCCCTGGGTGCAAGGAAGGAGCTTGAAAAAAACGTTTATGCACAGGCAGCCAGCTGAAACCCATTTGAACAGCTCAACTACCAAACTCAATTCTACCTTCCAAAGCTCTTCCTCTATAGCAGAAGCAGCTGATGTGAGCTTCAGTAAGCGTGTGTTCAGGTTCTTGTTAGGTGAAATTGTGAGATACTGTACAGAATAGCTCCCAGAAAGAGCCAAACTCAAAACAATCAGGAAAGAGCAGAAGCTGTGTTGTGAAAGAGTCACTTCCAGGCCTCTGGTGTCATTGCACAGAAGCTAACAACAGCAACAGCTTGCTCTTTGAGGAAAAGTAAACTTCTAAGTAGAAGCCCAGGAGCAAATACTTACTAAACCAAACTACCTCCTGTGTGTCCAAGAGTTCTCAAGGAAGATGGAGGCTTTGTGGAAATGATAGTAGATTATGAATATATAATGATTACCCATGTGAAAAGAGACAACATTACCAGCTCCTGTCACAGCTCCTTCGTTCTTAAACAAAGATGCTAATCACCACTAACTCAGCATTTCAGTGTAGACTACCAAGCTTGGGCTTCAGTTTTTAATTGGCATGATGCTTAATAGTCACTGTAGAACATCTTGTTTTGATGGTCATGAAAATACTAATAAAATGTTAATTATAAATGGTAGTTAATTTAAATTCATAGGGAATGTCAGTCATTTAACCTGACAATAAACTTAGAACGTTTCTTTACAGGCTGAAAATATCATGTTGGCCCAGCGTACCAAGTCCAAGAAACAGCAGTGCGCTTCAAGATATGGCAAGTACTCTCCTGATGGTGTGAAAAAATACACAGAGGACTCTTTCCTACTGACTAATCAGTAATACTAGTTATTAGTAAGACTCAGGTGTTGTATGTGCAACTCCTTAAATGGTATGTGAATGCTCAGGCAGTGACTTCTCCTTTAACACAAGTGAAATCTGTCCTACTGATTCATCAATAATGTCAGTTATTAGTCTTTTCAAACTTCACCCTAGTAAATGTTTAGTATCAACAGCTGGGAAGTTAGTGTAATAGAAATAAAGGACTGAGATGGTTGCTGTTTAGGCAAAGGCTGTATATACCATTTAATTTAACAAGGGTTCTCAAACTTTTTCGAGAACACCATAGAGCCTATTTAAAGGTATGGTTGTTAAATGAACAAAGCAAAGCTGAAGAGGGGGGGGGGGAGGAATCTAAAGAGAGAAATTCAGCTTTTATATCCATTTGGTCTTCACCAGTGGGAACTGATTATTAAGTACAAGTTACTCAAAACACAAAGTAACACATCGTAGCCTAATTCCACAGAACTCGTATGATAGATGGCACGTATATGGTGTTTGAAATCTGCTCCTCACTCCTCAGTCTAACCCCCTCCAGAGCAATCCAAGGGCTCCGACTGGTCAGCTGATAGATGGCTGAGGAGCACCTAATAGTAAACAGGCACCAAGGTTCAGTAGCACATTCAAATCTTGCCCATGGCTTTCCCATACACTTTACTAAGGATACCTGTATTTCAGGACTGAAACATTGCCTGAAAATCAGCTCTTAGGACAAGGCTGCTGGACACCATGTTATTCACTTTTGCCTATTAGTGGACTTATTTGCATCTTCCTCTCCTTATCTCTTCCCTTTTAAACAAGCTTCTGCTCCAGTTTTGTTGGTACTAGAAGTCCTTCCTCTGGGAGACCTCAGTTTATCTTCCAAGTCTCAGACCACCAAGCATTAAGTTTTTGGAGCAGTAACTTCTTTCCTTTTTAGATCTTTTTTATTTTTCTGGTGGATCTGAACTTAATTTGGCACTCATAGATCTCGTCTCTCAAGCCAACTTGTGAGATTTAACAAAGCAGACTTTGATCTATTTAGTCAAAGGTCAGGCAGAAGCTGGAAGGTATCAACAAGCCAGACATTGTCCAAATCTAGGATACAGATTGAAATCATCAGCAATGAAATTTCAGAAGACCCTGACAAGCTGCTGGTAATCAAAGGTTTTGCTGAGCATCAGCATTTCTTCCTTCAACAGAGCAAGTGTGATTTTCTATATTCCAGATCAGAACTCTGTTGCATTCTTTTTTCCATTCTTCCACCCAAGTGTAGATACAGAAGTGGTGAGCTCACTGATAGTACCAGATAGTCATTTTGCAAAAGCCAGACAAAGACTGAACAAAGGAGGATCAGATGTACAAATGTGCAGTTGTACAAAGTCAGTTTCAAAAGTGACGTTGCTGTTCCACTGTTTTCTTCAGTTAAAGCAATTGGCCTGCCTACAAGCACCAGGCAACTTCCAGTTCTCAGCACTGGGATTCAGATGTCCCTCAGTGACCACTCCAGTAAAACTAACTCTACCTAATCCTCTTGCTTCTTCTCCACCATACATTTAGAAAGAAAGAAAAAAAAAAAAAAAGGGGGAGGGGAGTCGGGGGAAACTAACAATTATACCAGAGAACATACCAGCCTGACCATAATTTTAAAAATGCTATGGCAAAGGTAGGCAAACACAGCAGGACAATCTAAGTGAGTAAGACATATGACTGGTGTTAAAAACTATTCCCCATTTAATCCTCCAGAATTTGCAAAAACTTGTAACCCAAGGCACACGTAGATCACAACATGGCAGTAGGTTGAATAACAAACTGCTTGCAGTAGCTGACAGCTAAAGCTTGTTTGGCTGCTGTTCAGTTCAAGCTGCTGCCTATTTATAGTAACATATCTGTTAAACATTTTGAAAGCTGTGAGTCTCAGAATAGCACATTGTGAAACCTACCTTTTATCACCACTATGCTTTGTCCCAAGCACACATAAAGGCAAGAAAAACTTTGTCTAAATACTATAGGAGAGGAGAAGATGGTCCTCTGAATTAAGGAAATAAATATTTTCGTTTATGTTACTAAAAGCAATGAAGGTGGGATAAAATTAATTAATTAGAATATTATATAGGCAAGACCAGGCTGTCTGTCTCCTGGTTTTATTCTTTTATTATTTATTTCACAATTGCACTTCACAAAAGCATGATAGTAAAATTACTCTTTCTCCTTGTTTTGCCTTGCAGACTAATTGGAAGCCTGTTTCAAGGTCACTGCTTCAGGCCCTGTCAGACAATGATACCACCAGCCTTTATGTCATAGAGCATGATTCAAAGGCTCCTTTGAAGCTAGACCTCTTTACAGATGGTGGGGAAGACAGCAAGTCAGGAAGTGACACTGGCCAGTCAGAAGAACCTAGCAATAACACAGACATAAGCCAAAGGCACGAAGAAATCCCTGAAAAAGCAGTTACAAGTGAAGAAGAAGGAATCATTTCCATTACAGTACCACTCCTGAGTGACTACACCAGCATGGAGTTCAGCCAGAAAGCCCTGATGAGTCTGACAGTGAAGCTGCCTGCAAGAGCTGCTCGACCTCATCTGGAAATGGAACTAAGCAGTAAGCCAGCACAAACTGAGCATCAGGTTTTGTTTGCTCCCCAAGACTACCTCAAACAAAGCCAGGTAGTATTTTTGCCATCTGGACCAACTGTGATGGGACAAGTAAATTCAAACTGAAGCATTTTGTAATTTCTTGTATCACAAAATCAAGTTCCAAGACCTCTGGGGCTTAAATGGAGCCATTAGGACAATACAGAACAGTGTGCTTGTGCCAGTCTCTACTCAACTTCAATAAGCTTCTTTGGTGAAATAGATTGATGATATCATTAGATTATCTGTTTCACCAGAATCATTCTGTGGAAAGTCCTACTGTCTTCACACAGGTAAACTTTCAGAGAACTGTATGAAAAAGCTTTCAGTAAGGTACCTCTTGATAGGTGCTTAGTCCCAGGGCACTCAGGAAGCCATTTCAAGGTGTTCACTCTCAGCGCAATGTTGTTCTAGACACCAGGAGAGTTCTCTAATCACTGCAACTAGTGTAAGACCTGAGTTTCAGATCTAAGTTCTTCAGGTAGAATTCCAGCAAGAGTGTCTACCACTCCAAAGAAGGTCTCCAGTTGGTTAAAGGTGGCCAAAAAAAAGAGTGAAAACCCTTGAATTTAGGAATAGAAAACGGTGCCTATCAATCTATGTAAAGCACTATCACGAGGTTTACATCTCAGATCTTTACACCTTTATTCATCACAGATGAATAGTACTGTGTAAATGAAGGTGATAATAAGTATCATTATTAGTATTGGAGGTTTTATGTGCATTAAATTAAGGCTATTTGTTCCTACATTTAGCTACACAGACATAGAAAATCATTCATGCTCCCTTATGACATGTAGTTGTAGATAGAGTTTCACACTGCATGCAACGCTGATATCTGTTGAACAGACTTCAAGAGCTGAATAGATAGTTCAGGTAGTTGTCTCTCCAAAGCTTGCATAAAGGAAGAGTCATTGGAATATAGGGGATAAAAGGGTCTTCCTTAATATGCTATGTATGTGACCCCACCATGTATCTCCATGTTGCAAGGAGTCTGAACTAGCTTTCCAGCTTACAACAGTTTCTCACCCATGAACCCCGTAGGCATTAATGGTTTGCAGTTATTGTTGAAGACCCAGTTTATTGTTTGTCGTCTGTAGTTTACTGAGTATTTTACTAAAAATATTTTGTGGAGAAAGAAATTGATCAACTGTACAGTAAGCACTGAAGGCTCCTTAGACAGACGTCTTTTAAAATTCTCTCATCAAAAGTGAAGGATGATTCACATTCACACAAATATTTCCATATATATTAGGCAGTATGAGTTATAGAACAGCCATGCTTGCAAAAAGCTCAAAGAAATTGCATATCCCCCACTTGACTGATTCAGTGAGAGCCCATAACAAAACCTGTTTTATTCACTTTCCTTATTTATATTCACTCTCTCTTTATTTATTTCTCTCTATGTCTGTTAGGACTGGCAGGAAGCAACCTGTATTTCACTGTGGGGTTTGCACTGGGGTTTTTTAGCACTTAAAATGCATTGTTTTGCCACAAAGCATTGTGTCCGTTACCACTCACCCTTGTTACCTCTGCTCATTGAAAGAAGGAGTAACAGGAGCGTTTCCCAGACCTCCTCAAAGGTTAGAGCAGTCTTTTAAATCTTTCTTTATTTTTTTAACTTCAGTCAGGTGACTTTGCCTGATTTGGATTTAGGAGAACACAAATCATCCTGCTATTAGTTGAGCCTTTGCTACTTAGAATATCTACTAGAGGGTCTGAAGTGAAAACTCCTCAAATGATATACAATCATTATCAAGTAGTCACATGAAGACGGCCTAATTTTTCCATTTCCCAAATACAAGAAATACCCATACTCAGTACCTATAATAGTTCTTTCATTTCTAATCAGAATGACTTATCTCGTGCAGTTGGTACCTTCAATAATTTATTCATCCCTGTAAACACTGAGTTCATTTTTTCTTGTTCTGCACCTACCAAACCAGCACATATTATTATGGTACATATAGAGTATGAAGTAAATAATTAGAATCAAACCAATAGCTTGTGAGCAGTTTCAGTATATGAAGCAGTCCTCATACATGAAACTCAAAAGACTATGCAGGCTCTTGACCCAGTGAGTGTTGCCTCCAAGATGCCTGACATCTTGCTGAAGAAAAATCCACTTATCAAGCTGGGAGAGTTTCCCCTAGCATTATCCATGGATCTATATGGCCCAACTGGATGTATTCCACTTTCTGTCCTAAAGCTCACAGTATACGTGTGCTCTCATTAGAGCAATACCACAGTCAATATTTGTACAATGACTGTAAGTAGTACATTTAGGAGAATGAGAGATACATGAAAAAGCCTGCTATGGAGATTAGATATAAATGAAGAACTCATCCCATCATGATGTATCCTTTGAGAGCAAAGAAAGAACCTCTTACGTGGAGAGAAATAGAAGAGTACACTTGCTAAGTAGTTTCATCCAACTAAAAAGGGGGCTTTGGTAGAATAATGTAAATACTCAGAGACAGAGGACTAAGAGTCACATGGTGCTCAGGTCTGCAGATCAGGGACAGCTAGTTTTTTGTGGTTTTTTTGTTGTTGTTTTGTTCTTTTATGGGGATTTTTAGTTTAGTTGGAAGGGACCAACAATAGTAATCTAGTCCAACTGTCTGACCTCTTCAGGCAGTTTAAAAAAGTGTATGCATATACAGATGTATAATGGCTGCAGAAGGCTACCTCTACTAATAACCGTGTAAGATATTTCATTTCATGTGTTATAGTACTGTTCAAGTGTTTTCAGTAGTGTTCTTAGCTTCACTATTCTTAACTTTGATATGTGTTATGAGTGTAATTGCAAATATGAAGGCTCAGGACCATAAAAGCTGAGTCATTTTTTACTTTTTTTTTTTTTCTTTTAATTCCCAGTTCCCATAGCTCTAGATGATCTCTGTTAGCATTAGGGAGAATTTAGACATTGTAAAAGTTTAGTCACTTAACTGTAGGCCTGGAGAAAAATAAGCATAGTGTTCTATAGCACGGGGGGATTATATTGCAGGGTTACAGTGTTTCAGCATTTCATATTTACAGAGAAAGGAATTTAATATTCAGTCTCTAATATGGCCTCTAAAAATATACACAAAGCAAAGTTATGCATTCCTATTTTTTCTAGTGTTCAGAGTAGATGTGCAGTTTGGATACTTTGATGTAGTAGGGACAAGGAGATTTCTCTTTTTTTTCACACTTTTTTTTTTTCTTTTTACAGTAGAGGTCAGACTACAGTGCAGTAGCTAGACAGCACTGCAAATTAGCACAGTGCTTTGGAGGCAAGATAAACAGCTACTTAGCCTGGAACAGGACATTTTAGCAACCACAATATTCCAGAGGTTTTTTTACTCTGTATTAACTACCAAATAGAATAAGAATACCTACTGAATATCTACAAATTCCATGAAAATCTAAGCCTTTGTGGTACTTTGGCAACCTTAAAAAGCCACCTTTATGGCACAGTGGCATCTGCACTTGGGCAGAGCCCTCTGAAAGCAGAGAGCATAGGGGCATCCTATGAATTCCAGTCAACCCCAATTTGACTCAAAAATTGTAAAATAATGAAGCACTTAATTAAAGTCCTCTACCTACAGAAGATATTTGCCACAGAGTTCTTGACTCTGTATCACAGGCTCTTGGTGTGCCACCTTCTGTCTTTCTTAATGGCACTGTGTGTCTACTGCCAGAATGGTGTTAACTGTGTCTTGGTACTGTGTTGATGGGATCTGTATGAACATGGGTAATAAAGTACAGCTTTCATCAGTCACTTCTGAGCACTGTTTACAGAAGACTGCTTCTAAGACAAACACTGCATGCCAATGGGGGGAGAGGGGAATAATCTTATCCCCGTATCTATTTTATTTCTGCAGTTGAAGTACCAGTTTGATTAATGTGGTGGGTTGACCACCCACCCATGGGGTTGTTGTTGGAGAAACAACCCCATACACCAGTACAGGTTGGGTGATGACCTGCTGGAGAGCAGCTCTCAGGAGAAAGGCCTAGGAGTCCTGGTCAGGATGGCCATGAGCCAACAATGTGCCCTTGTGGCCAAGAAGGCCAATGGCATCCTGGGGTGCATCAGGAAGAGTCACCAGCAGGTCGAGGGAGGTCATCCTGACCCTCTACTCTGCCCTGGTGAGGCCCCATCTGGAGTACTGTGTGGGCTCCCCAGTTCAAGAAGGACAGGGAGCAGCAGGACAGGTACAGCAAAGGGCTACGAAGATGATTAGGGGCCTGAAGCATCTCTCTTATGGGGAAAGGCTGAGGGACTTGGGTCTTTTTAGTCTAGAAAAGACTGAGGGGGGATCTGATCAATGCTTATAAATACTTAATGCTCACAAATACTTAAAGAGAGGGTGTCAAGAGGCCAGTCTTTTTTCAGTGGTGCCCAGTGACAGGACAAGAGGAATGGGCACAAACTTGAATATAAGACGTTCCACCTAAACGTGAGGAGGAACTTCTTTACTTTGAGGGTGGCAGAACACTGAAACAGGCTGCCCAGGGAGGTGGTAGAGTCTCCTTCTCTGGAGACATTCAAAACCCACCTGGATGTGTTCCTGTGCAACAGGGTCTAGGTGGACCTGCTTTGAAGGGGGGTTGGACTAGATGATCTCCAGAGGATCCTTCCAACCCCATGTCATTCTGTGACCTTGGCTGGATACCAGGTGCCCAACAAGCTGCTCTATCCCTCCCCCTCCTCAGCTGGACAGGGAGAGAAAACATGACAAAAGGCTCATGGGTTGAGATAAGGACAGCGAGATCACTCACCAGTTACCATCATGAGTAAAACAGATTCAACTTTGTTATTACTAATCAAATCAGAGTATGATAATGATAAAATAAAACCAAACCTTAAAACCTCTCTCTTCTTCTTGGACTCAATTTTACTTCAAATTTTTTCTGCCTCATCCCCGCCAGAGGTGCAGGGGGACCAGGAATGGGGGTTGTGGTCAGTTCATCACATGTTTTCTCTGCCAGTCCTTCCTCCTCAAGGGGAGAACTCCTCACATTCTTCCCCTGCTCCAGCATGCAGTCCCTCCCATGGACACTATCCTCCACGGACTTCTCCTATATGGATTCTTCCAACAGGC